ATCTTATCTTATCTTAATTTCAGCAAACAGTTATTAGAAGCATAAAAGCTTAAATTAGCAGAAAGAAACTAATAGAAGTACAAAAAAGTTTAAATCAGCAGAATAATTTAAAAAGCAGAAAAAACTAAAATTAGCAAAAAAAAAATAAAGGAAAAAAGCTGAATGAGGTTTAAATTAGAGCAAAGAGATAAAAAAGCAGAACCAGTACAAAAGGTGAATAGTGCAGTAAAGTTTATAAACTTTTTAAAGTGTTTTATGTTGAATAGATTTGCATTCATTTTCAGTTAGAAGAAAAAGAAAAGACAAATATCTGAAAGTGTGCTTAAGGAGCTGAATGTTTTGATGCAAACATTTTTAAAATAGCACAAAAATTGTGGAACAAGATACGGGTCAAAAAATGTCTGAATAAAAAAATAAGGAATCATTAAAACTAAATTAATCCTAAGTAAGTCTGGGCTGAGTCAGCATTTTTAACGGTGTGTGCAGAATGTCTCGCAGTGTTTGCAGTGACCCGCCGCTCTGTCTCTTCAGTTTGGAGCATGTAAAAAAAAACAATGTGCGCAGACAAGAATGTAGCTTTACAGACTGTGGCAAAACTTGTTCCTGTCTGCTGCCGGTCAGGTCTTAAAGTGACAAATACGATTTTTTTTTTCAAATCCAACCCAGGTTTTTTCAGTATCTGCTACTAAATCTGATACACATCTGATGTTTTGCTGCATTTCATTTGACTAATCATTAAATAATTAATAATTATTAAAACGACTTTGATTGCACTTCTTCAGACTCCACATGCTAACATGTAGCATCCATGTAGCAGTCATGTTTACATCTGTAAACAGCCATCTGACAGTTCACACTGGAGTCAGACGGAGGTCGTGTTTAAAATAGAATGTGACCGTTCACAAAAAAAAGGGATTTTTACAAAAAAAATCAGAAACGACCATTCAGACCTGCAGATTGAACGTAGCCAACAACAGGCTGTGATTTTCAGAAACTGGCCATGTGAAGAATCAGTTTCTTTTTGTGAAGTTAGATGTTTTTTAGTTTTTCACCTGCTCATCTGGCACTTTACGAGCACGATGACCTCAGATCTCACCTGAGCAGCAGGTGGTTTGCAGGTAAAACATCCTGACGTGATGTTTTACACATTTGCATCTGAAGTAGTTGTGAGGAACCTGTTTGTGTTTTCTGTTTTTGCACCTGTGTGTGTGTGTGTGTGTGTGTGTGTGTGTGTGTGTGTGTG